AAACAAGCCCTGATGCCCAGATTCCCACAATCTGATGAAGGGGGAGTGACGGTTTGCTGCACACCTGTGCCGAGGACCATCCGCTGCCCCAGAGTTCACAGCTCTGACTTGCTCACCAGCCCCTGCCTTCTGGCTGAGAAACAGTTCTCCAAAGTCACTTCTGCCTCCCTCTCCATGTTCTTAAAACGGCATCCCTTGCAGACCAAGTGTGGGGGGGCAGAGATCAAATATGGGGAGTTTAATGTCTCATGCCATGCCAACAAGACATTGTGCCCAAGACACTCAGAAGATGGGAGGGGGCCTGTAAGGTGGTAGGAAGAGCAAGTGAGTTCCAGACACAGCTTTGCCACAAATTAGAACTGGCCACGTCATCTTGCTACAAGTTGCTTTTTCTCTCCAGATCTCATCAAATACGGGGAGTTCAATTTCCACACGAATGCGACACTGTGCCTGAGACATTCAGCCCTGCTTATCTCCTTATCCATCTTATCTAGCTACCTGGACCACTGGAAATTCTGCTTCAGGGGATCTCCTTATCTGCCTACCTACTATTACTTTAGTTTTACTATGGGGTGCTGCACTCACCAAAGACAGAAAGAGATAGAGAGAGGGAAAGTAATAAATCACCCCACACACAGACAGTGGAGATGGCTACCACTGCAATCCCTCCTCCTCTATTCTCCTCACGGGATCTGGGGCACGCAAACACATGCACCTGGCCTGTGTTCAAGCCACTGGATCTTGAGCACAAACGCTTCTACTCCATGTAGTACACTTCCGCCTTAACCTCCAGGCTACCTTCTGGCTCTTGATCTCCTTACCTATCAAAGATTTCTGAGCAGGCTTTTGAGAGGACTAGCATGTGTTCAAATGCTGACTGTCACTGATTAGCTGTATCCTTCATTCAACTGCTTAACCTTGTCCCCAGACCTCAGTTTCCTCATCTGTAAGATGGGAACTCTAACACATGCTCCATAGTTAGTGAAAAGACTGAATGAAATGGTATCTATTAATATAAAGCCCCAAGAACAATGCCTAGCCCACAATTACCCCTCAGTAAAGGGCTCTAGCTAAGGCTCTTCTGGCTGGAACAGTTTATGGCTGTTTCCACAGAGGACAGTATTTGGCCAGTGATCCCTCAAGGACATTTCAATGGCCTCTTGACAATGACACCATTTCTGGGCTACCCACCTCCACCCACAGCTGCAGCCACTCCCTTGAAAGCATCCCTCTTCCCCCAGAATGGGAATGACAGCTGCCCCGGGTGTAAACCTGTCTGAAGTGGATCCAGCTGGTGAAAAGTCAGGATAGTTCAAATACTGGGGGGATCAGCTCTCAGTCCAGCATGAGCGTCTGTGCCTCAAAATAGGCTGATGTAATCTACAAGTGAAACACCTCAAAGAAAAGGCCTGTGGCTTACAGACTGCTCTTCTGCAGTCTTTTCTTTCAAACAAAATCTTACATGGTACCCCCTCTTGGCTTCAGGAGAAGCAGGAAAAAAAAAAAGAGAGAGAGAGAGAGAGAGAGAGAGAGGAGATGATAAATCAACAGGACAAAGTGATGTGCAAATTTATTTGATACACTATGGTTGATACTATCATTTCTATAATGTCACTGAGAAAACAATTCGTTAGTGATTTTCAGTATGTTAAAATGTGGTGTATAACATTTTGACTATGGGTACTCTTTTGATGACAATTAAAATACATGTACACATACATAAAAAGTCTGCAGTACTCCTGAATCCCAGAACACTTCAGAAACAATTTAACCACAGTCACATTAAGGTCTCCTTTGCATTTCAGAGGACAACCGTTCCCCACCTGCAGCAGAGAAGGCTGGAGGCAGGGCAGTGCACACCAGCATCTTCCTTTAGGGAGACTGATTCTGAAGCCTAGACCCACACTGTAATCCCTGGGGAGCTTTACAAAACACAGCACCTAGAGCCACCCACTGGATTTGATCTGGGCTACAGGCTGGGCATTTGGTTTTTTAAAAGCTTCCCAGGTGATCCTATCCAGTAGTAGTAGGGTCAAGAACTGCTGTTTTAAAAGGTATCTCAACCTACATGGCGCCAAGCAGGTGCCCACAGGAAAGAACGCGTCCTCACTTAAGGCTCTTGATAGCTGTAAGTGCCTCCCTTCTGCAAAGCCTCTGCAATGGTTTGGTTCCCCTGTGCAGATCCTTCAGGTACCGGCCATTGTGATGCAATACAACGTTTACCCAGAGTGCATTCTATTTACAGACCTTACAAAAGCACTTGACCAGAGGATCATACACATCCCCTCTGCCCCAAGGTAAATAGCGTTAAGTGGCCTGAATGAGCCAGGGCACCAGGGTCAAAACAACTTGTCTAAGCTGGAAGCAAGTTATAAACGGCCTTGACAAATAAACAAATATTGGACTGGACTTTAACCACACACTTTCCACTACACCTGTTCATTAAATCACTCCTTAATTTCTCATCTCCTCAACAAAGGGCCTTTGATCCCTGAAAATATTATTGCTCTCAGGAAGTGGATCTTAATATAGAAATAAATATTAACTTTTCTTCTCAGCAGTTTAATTCCTCTTCCACACTTGACCCCCGAAATCCTTGCCCATGCTATGCAGATCTCTGCAGCCCTCAAACAGACCCAGGTCCCCAATGCTGACCGAGGCAGCCTGTCTTCATGGCTCCCTTCCATCATTCTCCTCAGCCTATGACAGAAGGCTTTTCCCAGGCAAGGATCACTTTTTATAAAAATAACTTCAACTTTAGACATTCTGTACTCTTGGGATTACTTTGCAATAAGCAAATCTCACTTCTGTAATGTAAAAAGAAAGATCAAAGTGTTATAGAAAATTACATCTTAAAAAACTAGAACTGGGTGATAGGATCACAAGCAATTTTTATTTTCTTTATATTTTACTCCCTCCCCAATCTTCTGCAATAAGTATGAACTAGTTTCGTAACTAGGAAAACAATTTAACAACAAAATTTTTTTAATGCATGATTGCTACATAAAATTTCTTGTGCGGCTGGCTTCATGGCCTGGTGGTTAAAGCAGCCAGATCCCATGTGGTAATCATGTGGTTCTAATCCTAGACCCAGAGGCTTGAGAAACATGCCAGACATGTGTGCATGCCCGAAATCCTAAAAGGAGAGAGAGACGGAGAAGGGACTGGCGCCATGACCATGCCCGAGGAGGAGGTGCTTACTCCTCTCCCTCACTGTCTCTCTCTGTCTCTGGCAAGCACACATGTTCTCTAGCAAAAATAAACCAAAAAGTTCTTCTGTATGCACTACTATGGTATAATAAAAACATATATTTGGTCTTTGTCCCTGGTTCCTGTCCCTGAACTCCTAACCACTTTTCCTGAGTGATAGCAGTGTTTTGTTATTCATAAAGAGCCCCTTTTGATCATATCAGTTTATGCAAACAAGGTGACTCAAGGTGGGCCCTTGGATAGTTTCAAGGGTGGCCA